TCCGCTTCCTGGGCCTCAACTACAAGGTGTGAACCCGCTCTGGCTCCTGGGCCAGGGAGGTATCTGGTGTTAAACTGCCTTTTGGGTCATTTCTGTCCGCTCACTTCTAGACTTGCTATTTTTATTTGAGCTGTTAAATAGTCCAGCTCTCATCAGAATTATTTATCCTCCATAATATTTCATTTACTTGCCTAGAGCGTTGCTCTCCCCTTGCAAAATTTAGACCACTTTGTAGACAGCAAGTCGTTAAGCTTCTTATTTTGCATAAAGTAATCACTGTCTGCCTTTTGCAGGTAGGGAAACCAAGACATTAAACAGCTTGTTGCTGGCAGCGGAATCACTAGTATGCTGGGTTTCCGCTGCTAAAAAAAGTCTCAGAGCAAGGGGGTCTGGGTTCCTTCACTGCCCGCTCCTGGGCTGCTTCCACAGGGTGCACAGTGGTTGTGTGTGCAGCGACTGACAAGCTCATGTTCTCCCTGCAGTACATGGTGCCATTTCTGCTCAATCAGTGTGGATCACTCCTTTTCTATCTCACCTTGGCATCCACAGGTTAGTTCTCATTGCTTTTGTGGAGTGGGTGGATTGGGATTTTGGGAGGAACTTCCCTATTCCTAGGGAATAGGAATGTCCTATTCCCTAATGAATAGGAAAGTCCTATTCATTAGTCTGGTGGCCCAGCTAAACATCAAGCAGCTGCCTTGTAATAGCAGCAAAGTCATTTACATTCTTAGTGTCTGTGATTTGTACAAGACCACTCATTTTTAAACTGTGTTGAAACTGTTGGATTTCAGATCTGTCCCTGGCAGTACCACTCTGTAACTCTCTGGCTTTGATAGCCACACTGGTGACTGGGAAGATTCTGGGAGAGGATATTGGTGGTAAAAGTAAGTTAGACTTGAAATACGTTTTGTCACATTGCTTCCTGCATGTATTTGCTAACTTGATAGTGTAGGCTACTGTGTTTTAGCATGGTCTCTGTGGTGGTTTTGGTGTGGTTACTGTTTATTTCAGTAGGAGCTGTGGCAGGGAAGATCTGCGTAGCTGGTTCATAAACAAGACGCCGTGAGATACATCAGGAAGAAAACCTATTCCAAGGTAATCTCCATGTGTGAAGAGGGGAGCTTCCAGCTCAGCAGCAGACCATTAGGCTCAGTTGCATCTAGGAAGCTGCATTTTTGACACACACATCTAAAAACATGCATTGTATTCCCTTAGCGCCATGGCGGAACAAGGCATTTTTCAAGGACATCCTATGTGATGTCCTGGGTTAAGGAATGTTTTCTGTGAGCATTTCAAGGCAGGGATGACTGAATTGTCTTGTTTAGCACTGGAAGCATAATAAATTGTTTAAAAGTCCTTCAGAGACTCTCCTTTGACAATGACTTTGCCTTAATTATGACCTAGCTGATTTTTTGTAGAAGGAGTCAGTTAGGAAGTCTCCTCTTTCATGCCTATGAAAGTGGCTTCCTTCATTGTATCCAGGTCATGCTGCACAGCCCAGAGGTGTACCATATGGCTCTTCTCCACTGGACTTTGATCTGTAAAATAATAACAGTGCAGTTTGCTGCTACAAGAGGAAGCGTCTTTCTTTTCAGTGAAAAAATCAGTCCAAAATACTAAACAGATCCCTGAAGGAACATCTTCATTACCCTTGTAATTAATCATGAACTCTAGGGAAGGATACAGAAAGTCTTGCACAAAGAGTGTTGAGACAATAGCCATTTATTACTATGACTTTTAAGAACATCTGCCTAATTCAGGAAAACAAATCTACCAAATCTGGGAGCAGATTTGATTGCTGCAAACATTATCCAAGCACTCCAAATTAGAGGGACAATGATGCTATGAAATATTTTTAAAAGAAGTTCCTGACACAACAAATTTTCTGGCAGATATTTTATTATAAAGGAGTAAATGCTATTTGGTAATTCTTCCTCCCCACATTCAGATACAAACCAGTTTCTTAATTGGAGTTCAGAAAACCGGCCGTCTCCTCTGCCAAATCGTCATACTGTAGAGATGAGGAAAGGAGGAGTACTACATTATTTAACAAAATTGTGCATCAGATTCCAGTTCACTGGTAGTTTCCCTCTCAAGCACAGACAATTATGGTGTTCGATCTTAGAAGATAATACATCAGAAACTGTGGCCAGTCTTTGCTGTTACATGTATCTGAGAATCACGTGCTTTTGTTATCTAGATAGCAAGCTACCTAGCTGTCTTTCTCCCATCACAGTCCCTTTGTGAAGTCTTCAGAGTTCCTTGCTGCTAAGGAAAGACATCCTTCAGTGCTTTTCATCCTCAGAGTCGCTGGCATACCTTTGCATTGCCACGGTCTTCTGCAATTTGTCTGTACTCCACACCTTTTTGTGTTAAGAAAGAAATACGGTTATTAGTGTAGCACTTTCTGCTCTTACAGACAGCTGCTGGGACTAAATTTCTGGATTCCATTTCCAGTCTTGCCATGGCTTTGGCATGCAAACGTAGGTCTTTAGGCATTAAGTAAGCCACCTTTGAATTTAATCTAATGATTCTCTCCCACTGCAGGAGAGAGCTGTGAAACTCAGATAACAACACCTGTACAGCACTGTGATCTCATGGGGGAGGAAAGGCCAAGTTAAGGCAATGGCATTGGAGTGCCGCCCCATGCCCCAATAAAGAAATGCTGGCCCAGCCGCTCAGGTAAATACAGCACATCAGACTCCACACTGAGCCAAGAAGTATCTAATTCTTTACTAGGGCTTTCTCTAATTTAAGTTCAAAGGATGTGTTTTCCTTTGAAGTTCTAATTAATCCACAAAGACTACCTAGGCAGAACTGTGAATCATCTTTAACATAATGCATGTCATCCCATTCCATCAATTCCAAGCGTCCTTATGAAGAGTTTAAAACACGAATACTCCATGAAGAATAAGCATCTTTCAGACATTTTTAACACTGATTTTTGTTTTTAAAAATGCACTTTTTGTTGTTGTTCCTTAAAGTTTCAAACTTGTATTACCTAACAAATGTGTTCAGTCATTTTAGGAACTGTATGTTTATATCCTGCTGGCTTCCAGTCTGCACCTGGCTAGAGGCAAATTCTGCTTACCAGTTATATTTGAGCCTACTAAGTTTTAGTGTAAAAAAGTCTGTGCTAGAACAGAGCCAGGAAGGATCTTACACGTTTCACAGAAGCATCAAGGGGAATAAATACCTTGTTGTGGTTTCTCATTTTGGCTTTTTGTATAAATTCCTCTTCCACAGTCTCTGCAACTCTCTGAAAGAGGCGTAAGGACAGAAGTAGGACAAAAAAAAAAAAAAATCAAGGAAAGCCACTGATACATCCACTATAGTTGAGGGCTGTTTCCCTTACATACCAGGAGAAAGGAAATGTTCATTACTCAGATTACAATCTCCAGACTTTCTAAAATGCAGAGCCTTGCAGTAACCCACTGTCCTCGGGCTTCTCAAGTTCCCCCTCGTGGTTACTTTAATTGCTACAAATTCCAGAGGAAAGCGCTTTATAAACCTAGTGTAGAGCTTGACTGAAAACAAGCGAGAAAGACAAACCACTTCCCCAAACTGTTACTATAAACTACTGATTAATCTGTCCTCAGGGCGCTCTCACAAAAAAGCAGCATTTCTCCATTGCAGTACTTCTGAGACGATGTCCCTTGCATGGCTGTCTCTTGGAGTCAGCCTCCCTGCTGTGCAAAACCAGAAGCACCAACAGGTTCTAGTGGGACCATGAGTACCTCCCTGTAGCAGCGTGAGACTCCTGAGAGGGCAGAAAATTGTATCTCATACCTGATCAATGGGTACCTCCACCTTTGTGTGTTCATCCTCTTTTACTTCGTGTGCACCTCGCATCTCCTTCCTGGGATCTTTGGCTTTATAAACACTTCCTTCTGCAAGGAGGAGAAAAGCTGTTAAATGGGTATTGCAGGCAGCCATGGTCTGGTCTTGTTAAAGTTACAGAAAGGTCATGGTTCTCATATGTGACCCGATGAGGGAGGAAAGAGCAGAAATGCAGAAGTTCTTAGGTACACTGCATGGCTGCTTTCTTTTAGTGCATCTGCAGATATTTTGTCCTTTAGCATCAAAGTAAAGCCAGTCTTTCTCACGATTTATAGCAGAATGTCCTTTACCTTGATCAGGCCAGTGCTGCACATTCGTGTTACTCCTCCTGTTTTGTCCTGCACGGACAGGTTTAGCATGGAAAAGAGACTCTTCCTCTTGGAGGTAAGATTTCCTGGCTTGCTTGTGCAGTGGTGGAGAAGCAACTGGGATCTTGTCTTTCTCTGTGGCTCCTGTGGTCTGCACCCTGCGATTGTCTAGCTGAAAGTATTCATCACACATTTCTGTTACACCTTCTTGATAGAGCAGTTTATAAAACAAAAGCAGTTCTGCAGGGCAATCCAGTCAAAAACACTGCGACTTCCTGCCCATGAGCCCTAACCCTGACTGGTATGAAGCTGCAACATTGCATGCTCTTAATAAAGTTTTAAGTTGATATTACGAGTGAATAGGTACAGGGAACACATACAATTATTTCTGAAGTCACTACCTGCTGAGGTGGGAAAGCAAGAGCAGAGTCACTAGCTCTGTCCTGCAAGTTGGCATAGAGTTTGCCAAACTGAAAACAAGAGGAAAAGGACGTTTTAAAAGCAAAATAGCACTTTCAAAATAACAGAGAGAGCACAGATGCAGCTTTCAGTGAATAATTCATGAGAGCCCAGCTGCTATACCTGCAGGCTCCACTGAGTATTTTCCCCACACAGTGAGCAGGAGAGAGCTCTCAGCCCCAGTATGAATTCTCCCTCTCCACCAGCCAAAAAGGGGAAGAGATGAGTATGGCTACTTTAAGATTTTTCTTCAGGCAGTGAGATTTAATTCAAGTGCAAACTTGTCATGTCTTCAGCTGCTGCTGTGGGGATGGTGTCAAGTAAGGGTGTCATAACCATGGCAGTTGGGAATGGAAGTCGCTATAGCCACCCATTGCTTATGGACTGATGTCTACACAAATGCAGCTGTGCTCATAGCACATACAGTCCCACACCAGCTGAGCCACCTACCCTTTCGCTGTAGTTTTTGCGCCTGCTATTTGGGTGGTTCCTGTAACAAAGAAGCAGCGGGTCTCAGTATCAGGCAGAAGTCATGGAAGACATGATCCCCCCTCCCCTTTTCCCACAAGGAAGAGCCCTGGAGGCATCTGTTCTCAGCACAGGTACAGCACGCTCCAGAGTGGCAGACGTTCCCCCACCCAGATGCCAGGGTCCTGCGCTGAGAGACAGTTTGTGGCTTGGCTGCTGAGACTGCACTTGGAAGCAACAGTTTATACCGACCAGTCACGTTGTACAGGCCTCTCTATATTGCCAGCCGATGTAAGAACAAGCAAGTTTGATACAGCTGAGGTGGTCAAGATATGAAAGGCCATCCAAGAGGCAGATGGCTTTATATCAGGTTGCTGACCACAGGCCTATGAGATTCAACGCTATTCCTAATGGGTAGGTGCTCTTCCGTGCTTGCTGAACACTTAATGAGAAACAACCAAAGCCACTTGCTTTCTTTGGTGGTGAACTCTGGATTTCAGGAGCTAATTCTTGTACCAAAAGCTCTGCAGCCACATTCTTTCTTCCTAAACTTCGTCACATGAAGCAGAATTCAAGCCTCAAGGCAGACAGCACTGAATAGGAGGGCTATGGAAAAGTTGGCTTTAGTTGAAGACCACCACAGAGATGACTCTTTAAACCAGCCAGCCACAAATACCTGCCTACGTACCATAGTGTCCTGTACGCCGAAGCCTGGGGCACCAACAGCTCAAAGTAGGGCAGGTTTTTGTATTTCTCAGCTCCCACTGCCACATAGTAACCACCATTCACCAGCTCCTCCCCACCAGACACCTGTGTTCCATCCAGCCTGCAGAGCCTCGAGGAAAAGATAACGAAGGCTTTAAACAGAGCATGCAAGAGGAAGTCACAAGAGCAGTGAACAACCCTTTCAGCGTGGAAGCAATGGGCAGAAGAGCCCGCAGTGCCTTATCCAGATACCCACTTGTGAACAGCTCCACTGCGCAGGTTGGCTTTCTCTGTTAGCGTGGTCAGGAGCGTGTCCCACTGCAGCGGGGTGCCCCTGGAGAGCAGCAGTCGGAAAGGAGGGCTTAGCAAATCCCCATTCCGGAAAACACTTCAGGAGAAACAACGCAGAGCATGTGGTGAGCCTGTATTCACACAGTTCCCACAAAGACAACACTTGCTGTGCCAAGACTTTCCATCCCCCAGGCCACTGACAGCCCCTTCTGTGCACACCGTGTTCTGTGGGTCACGCACTACTTAAATGGCTGCAACCAGGAGTCAACAGAAATATTCTAGTAACACTTATGAAGACATCAGCTCTCCCTGCCCCTAGCAGTTCCTAATCTAAGGACATCACCAGGCACAGGGCAATAACACCAGTAATTATGCTATATGCATCTCTGCCATCTTCTCCCAGACCAGGCAATATATGGAAAGTGGCAAAAAGGCAGGCCACCAATGCCTGGACAATATTTACAACAAATACTTCTGGAAGAGGCTGGGAAGTGTCCTTATAGGGCAGCATTGCCAGGATCACACAGAAATTCCTTCTTCCACTCTCTGAAAATGTTCCCAGAGACCCCCCCCCCAAAGGATAAAACACTGAAGCACTTACTGTATCGTGCAGGGCAGGTGGGTGTGCTTCTGCCATCGCGTCGAGATGTTCTGCTTCCAGGGCAATATGGTGTGGGGCTAGAGACCAAGTTCAGTGCACAAAAATGGTCACCACCCTGGCACAGAGCTTCCCAGGGCTGTTCCCTCTTCTCTGGCAGGGGCTGCCTGCCCTAGAACACAGCCTGCCCTGCCTTCACGCTCGCTGCTGCTAGGTGGGGTTTGTTGTCAGCAACACCAAGGCCTGGAGAGGCTCTTCACATAGCTGGGTGCGTTCCAGGATCACCAGCGGCCATGAACTGCTGTGCACAAATCCTTCCCCTGCACTGTTAAGGGGGATGGAAGGTACACAGCAGTGGTCCCTGCACTGTCACACACAGAGAGTCCTACTGATTTCTGTGGTACTTTTAACCTACCTCCACTAGGCACCTGGCAGCCTTTCATCTCAAATTTTGTTTCATCACTGACAGCCCTAGCATCTTTTACACTTCTTCCCAGCTCATTCTGCGCTTCTGCCTGCCCCCGCTCAGCTCAGGGACTCACCTGCATGCCATTGCTGTTCCTTGTCTCACTGAGTTGCTTCATTCCACGATTTAAATAGCTGCAAGAAGAAGATACCACGTTCTAACTGGGACAGTTTGTGAAGGACGACACTTCCCAGGAGCTGTGACCGCTGGAATTTGAACAGGCCAAAGGAGAAAGAACAGGCCACTAGCCATCGTGGCCAGATTTTCAGCTGCAGGCCAAACCGTCCACATAAAATATTTGGGAAGTGGCTCGGTCAGTACTGAAGCTCCAGTCTGACTTGTAGGTGATATTTCACACAGCAGGAAGGGTCCAGATCCACATCCATGCAGCTCCCCTCCTAGCAGCCTCACTTTGAGCGGGTTCTTCCCCTTCCAGAAGCACACGTGGCTCACTAGTACTTCAGCTTAAGAAGTGTCGCACATGCAAAATGAATCTGTGGTGCGACCAGAACTGAATCCTGAGCCACAGCTGGCTAAAGAGCTGTAAGAACATGACTGACCCCTGCCTCGGTGCACCACGATCGAGTATGTTTATTGTTTGGGTCACTTCTGAAACAATCTTCCAGGCTTCTCATCTCCTGGGCCTCCAGCACTTCAGTCTAAATTTAAGTGTTACATTTAAGAAATTGCCAGCCAAACTCAAGAGAATTTCAGCTCTCCATGCTGAAGACATAGAAAACATTGTGTCCTTTGAGCTAACTGTTGTTCTAGGCTCCCAAGGCTGACCAGTATTAATACAGCTTGGACTGCTTCCTCAATTAAATGCGATATGCACACAGTGAACCAAATTCAACCTTCCCACAGTATCACACAAATCCCCTGGTGATTCAAGTGATGCCAGGAATCTCTTTAGCCCTCTGTGTTTCAGGATAAACCAACAGCTCCTCATTATGTGTTTCTGCTTCATGCAGGATTAAAAAAATAATAAAAAAAAACACTCCACCAAACTAATCCAAAAGTATTTGTCAGAGTAGAGACAGTGCAAATGGTGAGTCTGACAGGGAAGCCAGCAGCAGAACCTCCCACACACTTCAAAACGAGATGCGCGCAAGGTAGAACAGCACCTATCACAACCCCAGAGAATGCATTCCTCCCCCAGCATGCTTTCTTCTGAGAGTCCAATGACCTTACCAGGAATAGTTGCACTTTCAGAGCAATCTGGAATATATCCAGTAGATTCCAGTAAGGAAAGAAATTAAACAGAGAGAATCTGTCCCTGTTTTTAGTTGGGTTTGTACCCCTTTTAACTCTTTTATTCATTCACACCCCAACACATCCCCAACAAAGGGGATTTAAAGCCCCTTACCAAACCCAGGGACCAAAGGTCCATCTACTCACTTGAGCCTTTTGAACCTTTCAAAGCCCGCAGCCACATACTGGCACCCATCCTGCAGGTCCCCCAGCTCAGCGACACGGTGGCCCTGCCTGGGCGTGTAGAGATTCCTCACAGCCAAGGGTGCACAGATGCTCTTGGTCACCTCATTCAGAAATGTCTCAAAGGTCAGGAACTGCCGCTGGTTCACCACAATCTTTCTCCCGTGGAAGAAGGGGTCCCCATTGCGATACACCACCACATTCTTGGCTGGAGGTGCCAGAGCTAATCCTCGGGAGCTCATCTCCTGTGGGTCAAGCAAGCTCTGCTGACTAGAGAGGCAAAAGGACCAGCATGGGGCAAGGAAAGCTCTGCCCAGCCTCACGCTGAGCCAGAACCCTTCTGACCAGGTGCCTTTGCGTTCTGCCTCCCTTCTCAGCACAGTCCCAGGAGTGACTGGCCGTCTCCATGGCTGCAAGCCCAGCAGGAGGAAGCTGTGGGCCAGTCTGGAGGCCACATCAATCAAACTGCAAAACATCTTTTTGTTTGAGAAGCAGGAACTGCACGGCCCTTTAACCCTCACTCTCACCACACGCCGAGTGCTGTGAGCTCCCTCCCTGGCCGGTACGGCCACCAGGCTCAGATTAACCAGCTCAGAAGAGCAGTAAGTGCCAGTACGTTTATGGCAGCAGCTCACATCCCATCCAGAGCAGTAGTATCCAGAAGCCCTCCACACCTTACTGTCACTCGCTGCCTGTGTGAAAAGTGCAGTGTATTTCTATCCTGCACCTATTGGACAAAGATCCACACCACAAGGACACACCACCCTTTGCACTGAATGGGTTGCCATAGGCTCACTTGGCTCTGTCCAGGAGAGGAAGGCAGGCCAGGCAGATTCAGAGACAGACTTCAGGAAAACTTTTTATTTGCAAACAAGTTAGCATCATCAGGAACAAAAAGCTTTATCCGCCATACCGCAAAAATGTCCATTCAGGCAGTAGGAGCGCAGAGTGTTTGCACAGAAGACTCAGAGTCACAATAAGGAGCCACAGCACTATGTGGAAAGTCGTTTTCTGAGGGCCATCAGACACCCCTGAACTAGAGCAAAGTGAGTAAAGCATCTCTTTGGACAAAGTGCTTTCAAGGCACAACATCAACCCCCCCAAAGTCCTTACTTGCTCCCTCAGGCACCAAAAGTTCTGCCATGTGTAGAGGTAATACCACTGCCAGAGACGTGCAGGTCAGGAACCAAGCCTCATCTCCTGAAGGTCAGATTTGATGTGCTGTTTCTTCCCACCAATAGCACAGGAAAGCTAGGAAGCTTTCCTCCTAACTCAGTACTTCAACTAGCTGTTCCCTAAAACCTACAACAAGTTTTTGGAGATCCCAGATACTGCAGAGCTGTGACATACAGAACCATCCCAAATACACAGCTCAGATACCAATATGGGTCACCCCTAATTCAGCAGAGAACTTGTTCCTGTATGTTCAAAGCACCTGCTGCCAGCAGGCAGTTTAATTCAACAACAAGCAATCAGCTGGTCACTTGGAAATTGTCAAAAAGCACTATCTGTAAGTGACACTCTTCCCAGCCTCGATTTACCTCTAGGACTGTCCAGCTCAGCCACCAGAGACGGGGTTCTTGCGGGAGAAGGCCTCACTAGGATTCCCTCCAGATACACAACTTTCCTGGCTTTGCAGTGAAATTGAACCCCTGCTTTGACCAAATGTTTACATTTAAAAGAAACAAAAAGCTTTCTTGCCATATTCATCTGAAGTGGAGAATATCAACACTTGGAGCTGGAGTTCTCCCAGGCTGCTGTTGTCCATGAGGTCACGCGATGACTATGGTCCTCCAGCTCAGTGGCTCCTCCAAACCAATACAAATCTGCATCCTCTGGAACGCCCTCCTACAGGTCAGGAGTCCCCAGCTTCTTTTTCAGCCTCAGGTACTGCAAGAGAAAGAAAATCAAGCATTGATGACTAAATCTCAGAGACCTAGAAGTAGCCAAGCACCTGCCTTGGCACACTCGCCAGCAAAATCGTTAACACCTGACCAGAACATTCACATGAGTCTCACCTTTAAAGCAATGCAAATAGCAACTTGCTGGGTGCCTAGATACGTACTAGTGTATTGTACAGATTGTATGATATTTATCAAAGAAGCAAAGTCTCTGTAACAGGCCAGGAAGCTTGTAATCAAATCTACACAGCCTCTGCTTTCCTTTATTGTTCAGTTACTTTCCAAAGTCGGGGTGGGGAAAGCATTGCTATCATCTGATCCAATCCTCGGGTAACTGAACTTTCACTTTCAACCCCCAGTCTCACCGCAGACAGCACCTCTCTGGCTGCAAACAGGCACCAGCCCAACCCACTGTTTTGCAAGAGGCACGGTCAGGCCCTTACATTTTTACGGCTCACAATAGCTTGTTGCAACCACAGCAACTCCATGATCAAGTGATTTCTATAGGACAGGAGGCCAGGCACAGTCCGAGGAAGCTCCTCGAAATCCTCGAGTGGAATTTCTGCAAAGAAATCAACAAACAAACTATTATCAGAACAAACCCTTGGTAGCCAGTCCCCTTTCCTCTGCAGTCAGAGCCAGACAGAGCTAGGAGATATTCTCCTGGATTCAGCCCACAGTTTCAGCATAGCTGTACACTTTGCCAACCAAGCTTTAGCTTGTCCTTATCTATACCCACAGGTGAGTTACCTATAGGGACTCTAAATGCGGAGAGCAGTGCTAAGCGGATGCCACACATCTCAGAAAAGGGATTTCAACCAAAGGCCCAGGCAATAGACCTCAGATTACATCTACTGTCTCTTCTACAATGAGTTACTTAGACTCGCCAGTATATTCTTGAGGTTTTGCCTCTCCAGGAATCTCCTTCGCCACCTGCACTTACTGCTAGGTCACTCAAACCATATAGGGAGAGCCTGCAGCCCTGGTGTGTAAAGCGACTCCTGTCCCTTACCCAGGCTGGTTGCAGGGGACTCCGTCTCCAGGATAGTGCTGTCCCATACAGAGGATACACTGCTATTGCTCTTCCATTCCTCACCTTCTGCTGGAGCACTACACCCCTTTGCAGCAGATTTATCTGTATCAGTCGCTAGATTTGGCCTCACTTCATCACCTTCACCTTTGGAAATCACTTCCTCGCTTTGCAGCTCAGCTGTAGGTTTCACGTTGCGGTCACAGCCCCAGTCTCTTTCTGGTTCAGAAGCCTCCAGGAGACCTATCTCCTGCTGCAATTTTTCTGTGCTGGCCTTGTCACGTGATACAGTCTCTTGTGTAGTTGAGCACTTTACTTCCACTGGCCTCTAGAAGAACAAGCAAGAAATTGAACATACAGAGGAAAGTGTAAAAATCTCACAGGCTGGCTGTTCTATGGGCCAGTGCTTTTGTCCCAGCCAGAGACCTGCAGTTAGCAGCAACTCTGGCATGATAACAACATACTCTGGTTTGAATCATCACCAACATTTTAAAGGGCCTTTGTTCCAGAAGTGGTGAGCTCATTAAAGAGCAATGCTCAACCACCGCAAGAGCAGATCAGATCACTCAGTGTGAACACGTGAGGTTGGTACACAGGGGCAAAAAACTACAGGAGTCACCTGCACAGTTCAGATATTTAATCTGTGGCTAAGGTTCAGCTGCAGGAAGGAATCCTCAGTCTGGAACTCAATGACACAAATCGAGGAGACAAAAACAGGCCTTTGCTACATAATCGTTGTTTTTTCTTTGGTAGAAATACAAGCTACTGGGACCACGCTGCAGAAGAGAATCATCGGCAGCACTGCTGTCTGGACATCAGGCCGCACCACCCACAGGGATCAGTTTGGTGCTGGCACGCTCCTCCCTCTCAGACTAAGCTGTGAAAGCCCCAGCCTGTCTTGCAAACCAGCTGTCCCGGGAACGACGGCGTGGGCGAAGGCACGGACCTTCTCCACAAACACAGGCCTCGGCAGGTACTGCCCCCTCCACTCCAGCTGGTCCAGGTCTCCTTCAATCTCCCTCACCACGGCTTCATACTCTGCCTTCAAGCTCTGAAACCGCTTCCGCAACAGGTAGCCCCTGACGCAGGCCTGCAAGCACAGGGCAGAGGCGCTGCTGGAGCTGGGTGTGCTGTTAAGCCGCTGGATGACAGAGAGACCCCCCCTTCCCCCCCCGTTGTGTGACCACATAGTCCCCAGGAGAAATATCTTATGGACAAGGAACAAACACATTCTCTGCCATTTTTTTTGATGGTTTTGCTTTTAATGAGGCAGTGCCTACAAACCGTCCAGCTGGCCCAGAGCCCCCTCCAGCCATGCAGCCTCCCCCAAGGGATCCCTGTCCAGCTGTGCCTCACGCATCCCCCCCAAGACACCCCAGCAGCATCCCTCCATGGGAACCACCATCCAGCTGTGCCCG